ATTATAACACACTAGTTGAAAGCATTCTGCATTCAAAATTTACTAATTCATGATTTGTGGTTAAGTCATTTAATTTTTGAAAGTTTATTTCTTTATCCAAAGAGTACAATAACCACCCCTTACACAGAATTTAACTTTTCACAATTTCAGTTACTCCATAGTCAGCTGCCTGAAATAGTGAGTGGAGTTCTCCGAAATAAACAATTCGTGAGTTTTAAATGCCATTTGCTTTCCTGAATGATACGCTGAAATTTCTTGCCTGCTTCATCCTACCTGGTGTGTGAGTCATCCTTCTATGCAGTGTATCCACGTTGTATGCACTACCTGACTGCTAGTCACTTAGTAGCTGTCTCAGATATCAGATTGGGTCTTGAGTTATCCTAGTAACCATAATCTTTATTTTATATGTTTTAATAATTCCCTAAAGAGAAAGAGTAGAAATGCTAGCAATCTTGATTTGCCAAAGAGAAGGATTTTTCTTTAAGTGAAATGATGAACGTTAATGATGTAATAATGAAAGGAAAAAAAAAAACATATGCTGAAGTTACTAATAACTATAGTACTTTATGGTTGTTAGTTTTATATTGTTCCCAATTTCTAAGTTAAACTTATACAGGTGTGTTATACAAGTGTGTATAGGACAAACCACAGCCTATCCAGGGTTCAATACTGTCAAAGATTCCAGGCATCTATCCGGGGTCTTAGAATACATCCTCCTTGGGTAAGTATGGAGTGTTAGAGTTCCTACCATATAGGAATATTTAATAGTTAGCTATGATATGATATCATACATTTACTGTGGAATGTGCTGATATATAGCTCAAAATGTTCTCTTGGTAGATGATTACCTGAGGCACAAACCCCAATCCTTTTTACTCAGTTAGCTTTTATTGGTTCTTTTTCCAGCCAAGACCTCACAAATGAGGAATGATTGATTTGGGTTCAAGGATTTAGAATATCTGTAACAGAATAATTCAGATAGTATTTGTAATTCGCTTTGAGACTAGAGTTGAGATTTGGTACTAGTTCTACCCACAGGGACATTTGGCAGCCTGTGTGGAAGTACAAGAAAGATGAGGACATGGCCTTTGGCTTCTCTTCTCCAGAATCAGGAAAGTAAATCATAGAGCAGAAGAGAGGACAGGATGTGTGACCTGCTGTGTCTCCTGGGCTGTGAGGCTAGAGAAGAGGAAAGAGATGAGGAAATAGAAGAAGCTACAGTGAGAGCTGGCAGAGACAGGAAGAACAAGAGTAAAGGAATATGAGGAAAAAATGGAAGAGGGGATGTTGAAAATGCAATGTTACGAACCTCAATTCCTTTCACACTATGCAAATAGTAATTTCTTAATATATAATTTGAGTTATGTGTGTTTGATGTGGTTCCATGCCAGAAATCTGAAAGGACATATGGACTGAAGCCTCGCTGGCCACTTCTGTCTGTCAGAACTTCGATCCTAGGACTTTAATCCAGAAACAACATCCTTCTCTACCTACAAACATGTTTCTAGAATGTTTAGTGGAGATGAATTTGTTTGTTGAAAATTTAAGGTTGGGTATACGAATCCTCAAGAGAAGAAACATTGGTACCAAGGTTTAAAAAAAAGTGAAAAAGAAGCTTAGTTGTTTGACAAACAAAGGTTAAAAGTGGAGCACTTTGAGAATTCCCCGATGATGGAAATGGAAGGAATGGAGTTTCAGGAGTCAGAAGTCTGATCCGCACTAACATTAACTATTGTAGAAGCCAGGGAAGCCAAACTCACCAGAAGAAAGTGAGAAGATGCTGAGAATGACTGATCTTGTCATCTCCATAGCATCTTGCCATCTCCTTGTCATGGAGGGGGGCCACCAATGAGCATTTTCTGAGAGTGGATATAAAACCTGAATGACAGTCCATAATGTATCACACTCAATAAATGGGTTTGTGTGAAGACACCTTAGCCAATCCCAAGGGAGCTGATGCTGAGGACTCACATTGTGCCCACTTGAACGCAGACTAATGACTGTGGCCCTGGTATTCTTGCAGTTACCCAAACTTTGAAGAGGGCTTCCCTTTATGTGCATATATGAGCTTTTCTGGGCTACCATGTTTCTGCCACAAATGGCTACAAGATCTCAGCTACACTGAGCAGAGAACTGACTGCCTAGACCAAAGAGATTTGGGAGACATTTTTCCTATTATTTATCCCCAGGGCTACATAGATTCTAGACTGATTCCTCTCTTTATACTCTCTCCTTCTGCAGACTCAGTGGCCTCACTGTCCCATAGCTTAAATAGCAGATAACTCTTCCATCCTATGGTGCCCACATAGATGTTCCTTTCCTTGACCTTGCCCAAGCTCACAAAGGTCCACTGACTGGGAATGTTTCCACTTGATTCTCTAGAGGAAACAGCTGGCTCCCTCGATTAAGCACAAATGTCCCTGAGTTTGGTTTTCAAACTGCCCAGTCAGCTCGGGAAACATGGTGATTGCCTCAACAGACCCAGTCAGGGTGTCCTCAGCAGATGCTGGGGGTGGCAGAAAAATTCCCAAGTGCAGCTGCCAACTGAATGACTATCACAAAAGGGCCTCACTTGCAGGCACTTTGAGGCCTCAGAACTCAGAAAAGTAGAACAAACTTGGTAAGACAAGCAGATGCATTTAAAAGAGGAGATAGTAAAAGAAAACATGATTCAGAGGGTGTGTGTGTGTGTGTGTGTGTGTGTGTGTGTGTGTGTGTGTGTGTGTGTGTGTGTTCTAATGTGAAGTTGCTTGTCTCGAATATGCCAGCACAGGCTCACAAGACTCTTTAGCTAGTTATGAGAAACGCAGACAAAAATAACTCCATTTTTATCAGAGGCTATTTTCCGAGTTGCATTGTTGCGTTGCTTTTAACTGTCATTGTCTCCAATTTTCCCGTCTTCCATCGCAGCTGGCTTGTATCCCGTTGAACAGCTCTAATCTGTCATTGTTCTCTGTTTGTTCTTGATGAGGCAGTCGCTTGCAAGTGTTTCTCCACTTTTTCTGTAGATGCTGATGGTTTTTAGTCTTCCCTGTCAATGTTCTGAAGCAGCTGTACCCCAAAAGATAAGACATTCCCTTCTGTATAGTACCTCTGAAAAGAGCATTTGTTGACCATTGCAGATCAAGGTGATCACACTCTCTTGTCTCACTCCCAGCGTATCCATCTATAAGGCTTAGCTGAGACAATCAAGCCTGGAAAGCCAGTGAAAACAGTCCCACAAAGAGTATGCCCCCTGGTTTCCTCAGAGTAAAAACAGCCATCATTACCTCTGTCTATCCCAAATGCGTGTGGCATATTACAATTTGCGACCTTAGTCGTCTCTACATAAAAATCTTCTGCTAAGAAGATTTTTCCCAAACAGCAGCAAGGCTGTAGCAATATTAACAGTGGCCTGCCAGCCTTTCTCAAGGACTTGTCACCACCATTTGATTCTCAAAAGCTGTTGCAAAACTGCCTTTTGCAAGCTTGGTGAGGCGACTGTGATTTGGTACCCACTGTGACTAAATTGGAGATGGTTGCGGCTATTTGTTTTGTTCTTTTGTCCAATATCAAACCTTTTTGAGAGAGAAATGCCCCTGATTCAAAGAAGCATTCACAAAATCAAACCGCAGGTGATTAGGATAGCAATTAATGTTAATGAAAAGCCAAAGTACATTCTGCATGTATAAAATGGCTCAGCATTGTGCTTTGAATAACATAATTGGAGTATTTCACATAGTGTGTACTCAACGGTGCTCCACTCCTGTCTGTATGCCTTTAAGTATACAATTTTATCTTTGTTTCTATAATGAAATATGTTAGTCTGGGTACTGATTTTAAAAAGAGGTTTCTTTAGTTCACAGGCTTGGAGGCTGCCCATAGAACCGGGTTTTATTTTAAGTAGATGAAAAAATTTGCTAGAGAAAGCTAGATCCTCCACCTGAAGTACTTTGTTCTTTCTAGAAAAGGTACAGGATGTGTTCAGGCTATGGTAGGAACATCCCTATTTGGCTGAGAGACCAGGAATTGGGGAACTACCCTGCTAGCCAGGACATCACCATGCTCCCTTAGGGTGTTCCTTCCTCCCCTTCATTCTTCTCTCATAATTGCTCCCTTGGACCTTCTTGTTCCCCCACCTTAAATTTATTCTCTAGAAACAAGCACAAAAATCTTTAGCACACCTATGATTGGGCCACTAGCTCATTTAAATCTTCAAGTGAAGTGCTATCACCTGCAAGGTATGGTTCTACATCATGGCATAGCTTTCATGGCCTCCATGACTGGGCCTCAGATGCTCTATCTCATTCAGAAGTTCCCAAGGAAGTGGAACAGTGGTGCAAGCCAAACAGAAGTCTGTTTGCTCTCATGGAAACAAGACACTAGGGGATATGGCACTCTGCAGGGACCAGAACCTTTATTTTGTATTCCACCCGTGCTCAATAGGTAATATTCGTATCATGGTATAAGATCACAGCTGGACCAGCCCTCAGATCTGTGTTCCAGTCAGAGTAAGGGTGAAAGAGAACTTTGCTTTTGAGATCTTTTCCAGAAATGGCACATGTCATTAGCAACTAGATTCCATTAGTCAGAATTAGTCACCTATGCTCATCAAGGGACATTGGGAAGTGTGGTCATTAGTCAGGGACTAGGTTGTTCTTTTTGATGTGAGAACCTTTTATTTCTTCTTATTTCAATGTGATAATCTGGTATAAGAAAGTCACAGGCAGATGGAAGAAAGCCAAAAATGGAAGTTTGACCCTGAAAGAATTCATAAAGATTGCCTCTTCCCATCGCCTTCCTTCACCAGAGCATGACACTCTCTGTTCTCTGAGGCAGGACTCCCACGTTGTTCGTGACACAGTTTGTGGTTGCATGTCTGCCAGCTCTCACTAAGTAAAATGGCGAAAGGCCTTCAGTTGACTCTTCTGTGTGTAGAAGAAAAATCAAAACAAGCAGCTCTAAATAAAGACATGCACAGAAATCAAAATGAAATACAGGAAATGAGGAATCACCTGCTTTGGAGGGACATTTTCCCCCGTCAGCATCTTCTACTGTGTAGTTGGGTTGTTTGTTTCGTTGGTTCTCATAAATTATCTACCTAGAGATTTTCCTTTGCAGTGCTCAATCATTCTTGCTTCAGTCATCATCTGAATGTGCAGCAATACTTCTGCTCCAGGTGCAGGGACTCAGTGAAAAACAATGTGCCTGTCACAGTAAGCTCATCTCACGGTCACCAGTAGAGCAACAAATTCTCCAAGCCAAGCACCAGCACGTAGGATCTGATGGCAAAATTGAACCTAGAGAACAACAAAGAATAATTTTTGAAGTCGTAGTGAACAGGAAAGAATTAGATGCAATCACTGTAGCCATAGAAACCCTTCACGGAGACATGTTGACCACACTCCACAGCCTTGCTCAGTGAGAAAGGCAAAAGAGGCAGTTTCTCCTTTCTATTTTCAGAAATTGTTACAGCCAATTGAAACCTCATTCAAACCACTAGCAACTTCCTTCTCCAAGAATGCATTAAATGAGGAGAGTCATGAATTAGCTTTTCTCATGCCTTGTGTCTTTCTGAGCGGATCATAACCCCTTCAGCCGGAAGGATTCTCTGAATGACCATTTGGTCGTGTTAGCAGCAGCAAGCCCTAGATTTTGCACATGAGCAATGCTCAGTTAATGCTTTATATTGATGCTGTTGGCCACACCACAGGTAGAAGATAGTGGTGCCCACGGATGCCACTTATAAACATCAATTGGAAGGGTAATAAACAGGAGTCATGGAGAGAGGTGTGCTAAAAAAGGAGGGTATGAAGCATGAGAAAAGAGAACTCAACATCTCCATGGTAGGTGTCAGCCACAATTATCTATCCACGGTCAATAACTTTAGGATGTTATATCATCTGTCTCAGCAGGAAGTGGCCAAGTGTGCTGCTGTAATTTCTTTTTTTGAGGGGGAGGGGTTCAAGACAGGGTTTCTCTGTGTAGTTTTGGTGTCTGTCCTGGATCTCACTCTGTAGGCCAGGCTGGCCTTGAACTCACAAAGATCCGCCTGACTCTGCCTCCCGAGTGCTGGGATTAAAGGCGTGCGCCACCACTGCCCAGCTATGTTGCTATAATTTCTAACCACAAATTTATCTATTTTCCTTTTAAAATGGAAAGAGGGTAAAAGACAGTGTAAGATCTTCTACAGGGAAAGCCAAGCTGATAATCTCTTGACCTTGACCAGAGAAAGAGATTTAGCATTTTAAAGCATTAATGAGAGTGCAGTGCCATTATTATGACCTTACTTACCATGGCATAGAGCAGGGGTTCTCAAGCTTCCTAATGCTGTGACCCTTTAATACCATTCTTCATGTTGTGAAGACCTCTCCCAACTGTAAAATTATTTCATTGCTATCTCATAACTATAATTTTACTACTCTTATGAATTGTAATGTAAATATCTGATATGTGGGATATTTGATGTGCAACCCCTGTGAGGGTCATGACCCACAGGTTGAGAACCCCGGACATAGGAAATGACTACAAGTTCAATGTCCCTTCACTAGCAGGAAGAAGGGAGAAGTGAGTTACTGTAGTCAGCCCTGATAAAATTCACTAGCCTCTTGGAAGGTTTAGGCTCTTGTCACTGTGATTAAAATAGCCCACTTAAAGTTTAGTAAATACCATACTGTGTACGTTTAATTTACATAAATTATCGTTAGTTATATCATGTAGTGTAATTCATCATTGGTGGTCATAAAAAGACTCTCCATTTTCTGTCTGTCCTCAGGTACTATCATATTCCATAAAATGTTGCTCACACATTAAAATGATTATTGAATACCTGGTTGAAATAATATTGAACATTTTAGAACAAATCCATGTCTTCAACTCTTGCCAATTTCACATTTCATTTAGTACAAAATATCTGCTTCAGAGGACGAGCCTCATCTCATGTGACTTTATATGTTGAGAACCAATTCAGCATAGTCTTGAAATGTATTACATGAGTATAAGCCTCCACGACTATCCCCTTTTTATCTTATTTGTTTATATTTATATATTTAGCGCGGTACTGGAGAATATACCCAAGGTGTCTCTCATGCTCGGCAAGCACTCTACCACCTAGCTGCTTCCTTAGCTCTGTCTTTAAAGTTAAGTCCATATTTGAAAAACCAAAACTGCCCTCCATGAAATCTGGTTAATAGACAAAAGCTTTCTCATAAGTTAGCTTGTGCTGTAGCTTTGCTGAAGACGTATATTTAACCCCTATAGATCCTTTCCTGCTGTATCCACTGCTACCATCATCATGGGTTCATAGGAAGATTGTCCCAGGATTTCCATTGTTAGTAGCGTCTCTTCAGTGGAAGATTTTATTTATAGCCTCTTCCTGATCCACTTCTATCATAAACCTTGAGTTCCTTTCTGTGTCTTTGGGTCTCCCTGTCATCTCTCTGTCTCTCTCTGTCTCTGTCTCTGTCTCTCTGTCTCTGTCTCTCTGTCTCTCTGTCTCTCTCTCTGTCTCTCTCTCTCTCACTCGCTCTCTGTCTCTCTCTCTCTCCCTCCCTCTCCCCTCCAGACATACCATTTTTGTGTAGACATCCTTTGGGCCAGAAAAAGGTCCCAGACTTTAATTTCCAGGCAGGTAGAACATCAGGATCCATGGCAAGGCAGAAGTAAAAAATCTAAGAAGTGCAAGAGTACAGCTCACCTGCCATCTTCTGCCTCAATGACACAGCTGATTCCTTCATGCCTGGGAAATGGCTCCCCCAGTCTTCCCTGTATGGCCACATTGTCACTGAACAGATGCTACTTGAATCATACTATGGACCGACCACTGGCAGAAATTCTGCATGCATGCATTATCAATGATTAAGTATTTACACTGTACTTGAGATTGGATAGATGAGCTGAGTCTCTGCCTTCCTAATTTAGTAAACTACCCAATCTCAAAAGACCAATGGTTAAAACTTCCCACCAGTAGTTTTGAATGCTTAAGCCATGACATGGGAGGGATGACTTACCTGACAAGTTCAAGGCAGCAGGCTCAATCCTGAGCAGCAACAGACAGAAAACAAAAGAATGAGTGAGGAGCCTCAGGGGACATAGACATAGACAGTCGGCATTGTTGTGAGCTCGCAAATGCCATGTGTCCCCTGGAAAAGGCAGGCTTGGACCTCTCTAAAGTCCGTGTCTTTCTTCATGAGGCCAGGGACGTGCATTTTAGCCTGCCCTGTGTGTTCACTAGCCATTTATCTTTCCACTTTTGAAAATCTGAAATGACATTTTTGAATTGGCTTTCCAGAACAATGCTTAAAATGACAATTTTTATACTGTAGGAAGCTTCTTCTTTTTTTTTAAGTTTTAAGCAAGCTGTCAGGATGACCTCAGTCGGGTCCTGCAGAGCACACTGTGTTAAAGTCAAAAGAAAATAAAGTTCCCTGCTGGAGCCACAAGGCTGTTTCCAGAGCTTGGGGACATCCTGAGCGCAGACATGAACTCAGTGTGAGCTCCCACTACACGAACTGCAGGAGCTAAATCTCCTGCAGACTAAGTTGATCTTGAGGCCCAGAGTCTTCTCTTCAGGCCCTTACGGCCGAGAGCCTTTCAGTCTCTGGTCATTCTGCTTTCAATTGTGAACATTTAGCCAAAATCCTTAAACCAGTGTGTTAGCCCTCCTTCACCATGGCAAAGTAACCAAGAAAATCAACTTAGTAAACGAGGATTTGTTTAGGCTCATGTTCTTGGAGAGGTGAGGTGCCATCCCACTTAGCCCTGTGGGTTTGGACCTGTGGTAGAGTGGCGCATCATGGTAGATACGTATGACAGAGGAAGCCTATTTATCCCACAGCAGCCAGTAATTAAAAAGAGCAGAGCTGGAAGGAGCCTAGATCACAGTATTTCCCAATGACCTCCCGAGAAGCTCCACCTACCAAGGTATCCATGCCCTACCAATGACACTGCAGGCTGACAGCCAAGCCCTCAAAACACTGACCTTCCCAGTTATTTAGGATCCAAACCATGGCAACCAGAAGACATGACATGAGACTCAGCCAGTACACTTCCTTCCTTACTCTATTGACAGGACACTTGGCTCTCTGAGAACAGAAATACATGGGCAAATTCCCCCACATCTCTGGTCTATTCGTCTTGCTATCTGCAGCTGATTAATATATGGGCTTGTATTTAACATTAATGTCATGAATATGTAAATACACAATTTATTTAACATTAACATTAATATGTTTGGGTACTATAATTATTCCTACAGAATTCCAAACAGAAAGTTATGACAGACAGAATGATACAAACTCATATCCTAATGATTTAATGTGCCACAGGCTCCTTTTGTTCATCTTGTTTGTTTGTTTTTTTAATCCTCCCCCCTTACAGAATGCTTTCTTTGTGCCTGTAGTAATGGCTTGTTGCTAACAGGAAGATGTACAAGTGATAAAGCATTAAGCCAGGCTGTAAGGAGCTTCAGCAGGGAAAGACAAAACAAACAGTCCTTTGGGTTCTAGGGAGTGGATACTGTGAAAATCACATACAAAACTATGTCTCTGCCATGGTGCCAGGGTTTCCACAGAAACCTAGCCCTTTAAATATGCTACATTGTGATTAACAGGGAAAGAGTTGGGGCCAGAGGCTGAATACTGCTGAGTGCAATTTCCAGGATGGAATTTGGGCAGCTCACAACCACCTGTAACTCCAGCTCCAAAGGATACCATCCATACCTTTGGTTTCAGCTGACATCAGCATGTGCCTATATACGTACTCCCACACCTAAACATGATAAAAATATATTTTTTTAATCATGGAAAGAAGAAAAGCAAGGGAAAGATACATTGAGCTACTAAGATCATAAAGGAAAACAGAGTTACTGTGTCAAAGAACTTGGAGACGATTTCAGCCCAGTGTTTTAGTACTCCAGCGTGATCCCATCTCTCAGGCTGAGGCAGGATTGAGCACTCCAGCCTGGGCTGTGCAGCAAGAATCTGTTTCAGAAAACCAAACAAGAGTAAGATTGCATTTCACAGTTTCCTTGTCCCATAGTTCCTTCCATCCTTACAAAGGTGAGAAAGACCTTTCCAATAATGCACGAAAGCTGCTTTTAGGAACAGCCTGGGGTCCCTCAGAAACCCAGCAGTAGTGTGGAGCCCCAAAAAGAACCGTTTACACCTACCGAGGGAAGAGCTAACTTTATGCCTTGTTCTTCGCCCCTCAGGTCTTTGCCCAAGACGGGTCTGGAACTTAACGGGGTTCCCATGACCCCTGCGATTGCTTCCAGTCAGCGATGAAAGGGTTATCGGGTAGCCGCAGCCACCACCACGGGATCACCTGCGAGTCGGCCTGTGACTCATTGTCGCACCACTCAGATCACAAGCCGTACCTGCTGAGCCCGGTGGACCACCACCCTGCGGACCATCCCTACTACACCCAGCGGAATTCCTTCCAGGCTGAGTGCGTGGGACCCTTCAGTGACCCGCTGGCCAGCAGCACCTTCCCACGAAGGCACTACACCTCGCAGCAGGAGCTGAAGGACGAGAGTGCCCTGGTGCCACGCACACTGGCCACCAAGGCAAATCGCATCCCTGCCAACCTGCTGGATCAGTTTGAAAGGCAGCTGCCCCTCAGCCGGGATGGCTACCACACGCTACAGTACAAGCGCACCGCTGTGGAGCATCGCAGTGATAGCCCCGGCCGCATCCGGCATCTGGTCCACTCGGTCCAGAAGCTCTTCACCAAGTCGCATTCCCTGGAGGGGCCATCCAAAGGCAGTGTCAATGGGGGCAAGGCCAGCCCCGATGAGTCGCAAACTGTGAGATATGGCAAGCGCAGCAAGAGCAAGGAGAGGCGCTCCGAGTCCAAGGCCAGATCCAATGCCTCCAACGCCTCCCCCACCTCTCCCAGCTGGTGGAGCTCAGATGACAACCTGGATGGCGACATGTGCCTCTACCACACGCCATCGGGTGTGATGACCATGGGCAGGTGCCCTGACCGCTCTGCTTCACAGTACTTCATGGAAGCCTACAACACCATCAGCGAGCAGGCGGTGAAGGCCTCCCGGAGTAACAATGACGTCAAGTGCTCCACCTGTGCTAACCTGCCCGTCAGTCTGGATGCCCCTCTTCTGAAGAAGAGTGCCTGGTCCTCCACTCTCACCGTGAGCAGAGCCCGAGAGGTTTACCAGAAAGCCTCGGTGAACATGGATCAGGCCATGGTGAAGTCTGAGGCATGTCAACAAGAGCGGTCCTGCCAGTACCTACAGGTACTATCTATGTTCAGTGATAGATGCTGTGAAATTGCTCCTGACTCGGTTGTGTGGTCTTTGCTCCTGGGTTCTAGTTTTGGCTCTATTCAGAACTGTCTATATGAACTCGAACAGATTGTTTGTTCAGATTATTTATTATTTCAGTGAGTAATGGCAGCTATCGGGAAAATTCAAGGAAGCACATTCTACCAGCTTCCCCCAGTTCTCTTAAGATATTAGGCAGTATGCACACATCTTCCTTATGGCAGTGATTATCCCCAGCCCACCCCGCTTCCAAAACACAGAAAACCAGGATGTTACCCTGCAGAGGTGGAGACAGAAGGAGGCAGTTTGGGGACCTGATAAGCGCAGCTGCAGAAGCCCAGGACAACAGAGGAGAGGAGGGTGAAGGGGAGACATCAGTGCATAAAATACAATTAGTGTCAGCATGTAAATCCCACACACAGCCTCCAAGGCAGGCTGTTCTTCCCTTTCCACTTCTGCTCCTGTCCCCCCTTCTGCCTCCAGCTGCCTTCCACAGATTCACCTGGATAAAAATATCAGCACGGGCAGGCAGAGCTACCTTCCCTCTCCCCTCCCTCCAGTATTGTTCTTCCTGAGACACAATGCGCCCTGCAGAATGACCCTCGTGGTTTTCCCCCAATTTCAGAGCATCTCTGTCTCTGTTTCTTTCCTGATGTCCCTGTCTTTCAGTGAAAGTTTTTACTAGACCTTAAAAGCAGCATGCCATAATCATCTCCATTCTCTCCTTCTGAAGAAATACAAGAAGAAATTCTTCCAGTGAGAATGTGGTCATTTTTCCCTCATTAAACTCTTTCTGATAAATACAGCTTTCCTGGGAGTACCTATCCTGAGCCCTGAGAATATCCTAGGCTGGCAGTCCTGAGCAAAGACAAGGCCCATGCCCGAACTTTAGAAGAAGCTACCATGTCACAAATACATGTTAGTATTTCCTACTTAAAAAAGTAGGACTGCCTAGTTCACTGTATGATTGTTCTGCATATAAATAAGCCTCAAAAGAAGCTAGAGAAATTTCTCAGTGGTTAAGAGCACTGGCTGCTCTTGCAGAGGATCCAGGTTCAGTTCCCAGCACCCACATAGTGGTTTGCAACCATCTGTAACTCCAGTTCCAGGAGATCTGACACGCACTTCTGACCTCTGCAGGCACTGAGCACACACATGGTACACATACATAGATGCCAGCAAAGAACTCTTCATAATGTTCCAGCTAAAAGATTCATCTGACCCACTTAGTGTAGAAAAAAGAAGTGAACTCAAATAAAGGCTTAATGGGTTACACTGTCAGCATGTATCAGAAATGGGACTAGATAGAACCTTAGTCTCTTCAAAAGAAATGACCATTATAAGGGCTATAAGGTAAGGATTTAGAAATTATTTAAGCACATAAATTTTACCCAGTATTGAAAGTGAAGTACTCGGATTTAAAAAAAAAAATAATTGTCTTGAAGAAAGGTTCAGTAAGGAGACAGAGGTGTCCTAGAAATGGGCATGTTTTCTATGAGAAGGCTCTGTGACTAATGACTGCTATGTCCTGTGCTATTGTAAGTGGTGGTAGGATATGAGAAATTAGAAGTATTAGATTTAAGAAGGATGCTGTCCATGGATCCAACACCAACCATTGTTAGTAATAGAACACTCACTTGTGCCTGAAATTTATTTTTCTTTTCTTTGTTTTTTTTTTTTTTTTTTGAGACAGGGTTTCTCTGTGTAGCTTTGGTGCCTATTCTGGATCTCACTCTGTAGCCCAGGCTGGCCTCAGA